TTTATGAAAGCAGGGTCTGAAAAGTGGGAAGAATGTGTGCAAAGGCCCCTGGACTAGACACAACTGCTGGGCCAGGGAGTGGGCAGCACATGGAGGAGGAAGCAGTGGCAGGGGTTGAAGGGGAGAGGGCTTGATCTTGAGGCTGTGTGTGAAGAGTGGGCTGCAGGAGGCACTGAGGGAGGCCTGGGCTCCAGTAAGGAGATCACCAGAGCCACCAGTTAAGAGGTGATCCAGGCTTGGGTGTGGGTGTCAATGCCAAGTAGATGGATTCAAGCCATTTTTGGAACGGATGGTAAGATTTTCTGATGTGCTGTATGGGTGATGAGGAAGAGAGTTGTTTCTCAGAAACAGATCGAGTTTCTGCCTATATCCTTGTGTGAAAGGAAAGGTCTCGGGGGTGTGGCAGGGGCCGGAGACTCACGAGGAGGACAGGCTGGGCCAGGTTAGGGATGCCTGTGGGACATCAGGCCTCACAGTCCAGTGTCAGCAGTGCAGTCAGAAGAGAGGCAAAGTTCAAGACTCTGGACATGTAGCTGAAATTGAAAGCGGTGTTGCTGGATGAGGCCAGCCCATCTGCCACACCTTGCCTTTCTCCTCTTCCAATCCTCAGGGGATGGAGCCACAGCCCACCTGGAAACAGGTGGGTTCATCCGGAGCCAGCCTGGGGTACCCCACCCAGACATCCAGTTCCACTTCCTGCCATCCCAAGTGATTGACCACGGGCGTGTCCCCACCCAGCAGGAGGCTTACCAGGTGCACAGATTTTCTCATCTCCCCATTGTGGCAGTGCCCCACCCAACAGCTGCTCAGAGTACCTGAGCTGGGCAGGCAGTCTGCATGCTGCACGGAAAGGGGAGGCCATACCCAGCTCAGAGTAGATACTCTAGGTACTGAGTCCTGGCAATGGACCACTCGCACCAACTCTGCCCAGGGAGTGTCAGCTCTGAAAGTTTTGGACAATGAGGTGTAGAGGCTGGAGTGATTCACCGAGGTGGTTTTTAAACACTGTGGAGGGTGGGGGTGGTAAGATGCAGGCAAATGCTAAAATTTATCTGCTTTTAATTGATTTTGGATATAGAGTCCCATCCACAGGAAACCTGGGACCTCTCTAACCTGAGTTGGGGGGTTGATGGAAGTGACTGCTCCCTCTGGATTCATCTAGGTGCATGTGGGGACCATGCGGGGCACGAGTGTGGGCTGGCTCAAACTGAGAAGTGCCAACCCCCAGGACCACCCCATGCTGCAGCCCAACTACTTGTCCACAGGTAATTCACCAGCCACCCTTGTATCCCCCAGGCCTGGGCCTGCTGGGGCACTGATGAAATGACTGCCTTTACAGGTTCATATTTGTCCCTGAGCCACATTAGCTGAGATACAGTCACTCCCTGTCCTCCCTCTGCCCCATCATTCTAGGCTGTGAAAAGCACAGGCTGCTCTGTGGTGCCCTGCGTCACTTGGAGTCACACTGGGGCATCACTTTACACAGTAGGGGAGATTTGCAGTTTTCAAACAATTGACCAGGAGGTTCAAGGCAACCTGGCTGTGCACATTTTTCCTGCTGTTACTGTGTGCATCCTTTAAAAGCAAACTATATTTCTGAGGCTGCTTCTATGCATGCCTCAGAAGCGAGCACTCCCCATGAGGCAGGTTTTGCCCAGTAAAAACTTGCCAGGCCCTCACAGCCACACTGTGGCGGAGGCAAGGCATGTATTCTTATTCCTAATTTACAGAGAAGAAAATTCAGATCCCTGATTTAAACCTGGGGCCTCTGAGGCAAGTTGTGTCCATCTAGAATGACCTGTTTGGGCTTCACGGGACTCTCCTTGTTTTCAGTGTAACCACCCATGGGTAGGCGACAAGCAGCCTGGTGGCTTGGACCTCTGTGTCCTGAACTGTTTCCCCTCAGGCAGCTCATGAGCCTCTCCATGCCCAGAATCTTCCAGCAAGGCCAGTATGGTAAGAGGAGCCTCACCTGTTTCTTCTGTTCAACAGAAACCGATATTAATGACTTCCGTAGATGTGTGAAGCTGACCAGAGAAATTTTTGCACAGGAAGCCCTGGCACTGTTCCGGGGGAAAGAACTCCAGCCAGGAAGCCACGTGCAGTCAGATAAAGAGATAGATGCCTTTGTGCGGGCGAAGGCCGACAGCGCTTACCACCCCTCGTGTACCTGTAAGATGGGCCAGCCCTCCGATCCCGCTGCCGTGGTGGATCCACAGACCAGGGTGATTGGGGTGGAAAACCTCAGGGTGGTCGATGCCTCCATCATGCCAAGCGTGGTCAGCGGCAACCTGAACGCCCCCACAATCATGATCGCAGAGAAAGCAGCCGACATCATTAGGGGGCGGCCTGCACTCTGGGACAAGGATGTCCCTGTGTATAAACCCGGGACCCTGGCCACCCAGCGTTGAGGCAGTCACCACCTGAGAAGCCCCCTGACGAGCCCAGAGGGCCAGCACAGCCCTTGTCCAAATGCCCTTTCCTGAAACTACCTACAAGTTCAGGATTCAGTGGCAGAGACTTGGGTAATTTCTTAAAAAATGAGATCAGTACTGGTTGGTGTCAGGTTCCTTTTCCCTCAAAATTTTCCTATGGGCCCTTTGGGGAAAGCAAGGCCAGTGGAAGATGGTTAACTCCTACCAGGGCCTTGTATTATGCCACAGTGCTCTGCAACTCAGAGTGCTGATGCCCTCCTTGTCCTGGCTGGACTGGAAGAAAGAGGTTCTCTCCCAGACCGCCCTCTGAAGGCAAGCTCCTCAAAGAGCAAGGTGCTATGCACAGAGGCTGGGTGCTGCCTTCTTTAAGGGGGGATCCTCCACCTCAGGCTGCAAGCTGTAGCTAAGGCCACGAGTCACGCTATAGTTAAGGAACACAGCCGGGATGTGTGCCTAAGCCTCTGGCGTCTCCTGGTTCAGAGGGGGAGCTGTCTGCAACAACACACAGGCCTCTCCTCTCCTGCACTTCCTGACCTCACCCCCCGAGTATGGCAGGAGCTGGTGCTCACTGGGGCACTCTGAGTGGCCTGTGGCCCACTTGCCTGATGCTCTGGTTTATGCTGAACACCATCAGCCTGAGGAGAAGATTTCTGGACCTTGTTCCAGGAGAGAAGGGTCTGGAAGGGCTCTTCATGACTACAGATTTCACAATTTCCCATTTTAAAAGGAAGCCTGGAACCCAGAGCAAACCTCACGTACCAGATCACTGCTCCACACCAAAGCAGCCAGCCCAAGAAAACACTTCCCCCTCCCCCCAGGGAAACAACCCAGCACCGAACAAGGCTGGCTAATTTTTATTCTGCAGATGTCCATGGGAACAGACCAGGATGGAGCCGAGACCAACACAGAAGGCAGTCAAGTAAAACTATGCTGCCTGAGCCTGTAGAAATGCAACAGAGAAAGATTGTCAAAGATTTGAGTTGGGGGGGTGAGGAAGGGGGAAAACCACATACAAGTAGCATTTAAAACAGTTCTTTGACCTTTAAACTCCTTATAATTCAATAATGTAATTAAGTCATTTATTTTTGAATGGAGATGCCTTATCCAGATGGTTCTTACAAGGTAATGAAAACAAAACACATTTTGGATTGATTTTTTTAAGCTATTCAAAGCCACCATCTTATGGCAGGGAACAAAAGAACTGCTATATGGAAACCTGCCGTGCTGGGCCCAGAATAAAGGGGGAAGAGAAATGGGGCATCCCAGGCTTCTCCCAGGATCGGAGTGGACTGAGGGAGCTTGGAGGCCTGACAGCTGTAACTTGTTTCCGAGAAACACCTTTCAGAAAGGCAGGAAGAAGAAAATGATCACCTCTTCTTCCTTTAAATCTTAGCTGTATCCTGCTTAGTTTTCTTATCCAAGAAAGGGTCAAGAAGGGAAATTCTAAATCTGCCAAGAGACTTATTTTCCTAGAGAGGTGCCACTGCTGTGGTCCACAGCCATCACTACTGGGTCTCAGAGCCATCTGCAGGGGCCAGGGAGCAGTGGGGGAGTGCGGGTGCCAGCCCCACAGTTCCCACAGCTGAGAAGTAACACATCAGGGGTGTGTGCGTGTGTGTGTGTGGGGGGGGTCCCAGGTGACTGTGACTAAACCGACCTTCTCTGGTGCAGGTATGGCAGGTGACATGGCCCTTCCATTCTGCCGTCTCTATGTTCTGTGGTGGGCTCAGCCTCCAAGACAGTGGCTGGTTTGATACTGTGGCTGTATTGTAAGTTAAGCAACATAACACATCCCTGTGCAGCCCACTTCCCCGCTGGCCCCTTTCCCACCCTTGCTCACAGGGCCTTGTCCAGTGTAGCCACACACAGAAGTGTTTCAAAGGAGAAGACTGGAAGTGTCACGTATCCAGAACCCACAGAAGTCAGGGTGGGAGACCGCTGTCAGGGTTCGGACCCAGGACAGAATGTTCTGACTTGAAGCAGCGCCCGCCCTTGGGCCCAACAGCTCAGTGCCATGGCTGTCTGGGCAGAGTGGGCGGTGGCCCACATCACAACCACTGGGCTGTGTGCAAGTCCCCCTGCCACGAGGGACCCTCCCACCTCGGAAAGAGAGGGCTGTTGTCTGAGGAAGCCAGAGAAGAACAGGGCCTGCTGGAGTTGGGGCCTGAGGACCCACAGTTAGGCTGCCCACACAGAGACGGGGCCAGCACTCAGCTTCTTGAGGAGCTGGACTGTCATTGAAACCCCTGAGCAAGAGCCTGCAGTCCCTAAAACATGAAAGAATCTACTTTATGAAAAGTGGTTTAAAAAGCATAACAGGAAGCTGTGAACGTGCCCCGTGATCAGGCTCTGAGGAGCACTGACCCCTCTGTAGAGGCCTGTGTTTAGGCCGATGTAGCACCAGCAGAAGGGTCTTCCCAAAAGAACAAGGGACAGAACCCTCAGGTGTAGGAGCTGCATCCCCAGGAAATGGAGGGTCCTGGAAGAAGGAACTTGGGCACCGTAACTACATCCTTTCTGTTTCCAGTGCAGGCAGCAAGAATCATTTCCATAAATTCAAATGGACTCTTCTTTCCAGCCAAACCACATTCTTCCACTCAAAGGTCATTTCATATTTCCACTGATTCCACTTTTCAGATCTGATACCTAGATCGTTTCTCTCAAAAATCATGAAAAAAAAAAAACCTCTCCACTGGCCCTGTGTTGAGACCCAGGCAGTTTTCTCACATTGTCCCCTGTCATCGTCCTCAAGACCATGCTCAACTTGTTCCTGTGTTGGAAGCAAGGGCCCCAGCCTGCTCCTCATTCTCACCTGTCCTTTAATGTTTCCAATAGACAAGGAATATCATTTTAGAGAAAAAAATTTTCCACAAGTGAAAGTGGAGACTGTTGAGTTGGGGCAGTCTGATACCGGACCAGAGCTGTTGCGTGATGATACCTCTATTGCTAACCATTTTTAGAACAAATTGATTGCCCATATAAAAATAAAAACCTTTGTAGAAAAACAGACAATTGGAAAAGGCACTTTCGACCATGGTATAACCTGTGGGGAAAAAAACCCATGAAATAAACTGCCCTGTTTTCTTTCACATGCGTGGGGTCAGCAGTAAAGAGGGCTCGTCCAATAGGCTAGATCCACTGTGCACTGAGGTGCTCCCGGGGCCCTGGCAGCCCACCCTTCCTGGCCTTGGACAGATTCCGAGACACCTCGGAATGGAGCTGGGAAGCGCCGCCGGGCCAAGTCTGGATGGAAACCACAGAGACAGTTATTAATGAGGGAATCTTGTTCATTGAGAGTTAAATCAGCTGCCATTTCCATTTTGTGATATGAAAAACAAAGAAACTAAATGTACTGTTCCTGGAGGCACCACAAAATGACATTTTTTAGGGAGTGGAAGGGGAACCAAAAGGAAAGACATTTAAACATCACACTTTCCTAAAACCAAGAAAGAAACCATGCTCTACAACTTCACATTTTTCTTACAAAGAAAAATTTAATGTTAGATGATAGGTTGAACCAGGCTTAAAGCAGACAGATATTAGGAGTGGTGCAGCCTATAAAAATGCCAGTTTTTAAGTACTGACTGGAGAACAGCATCATTGCCTATCCCAGAAAAGTCAGTCCTGGTAGTCATGTTGGGTAGGTGATGTTAAACCACACAGTAAGACCAATACCTAAAAGAGAAACAGAGTCCGAGGTGATGGTAACAGTGGTTTAGCCCTTTAGGAGAAACAGTGCTCTCTGCAGCTGGTATTAAGTTGCCATAGGCATTGAAGGAGCCACGAGAATAAGAAAAAATCTACACAATTACAGAACTACCCTCACAGAGTGCCTGCCCCTTCCAAGGCTCTCACTGGCAAATGCCAACACTTTGCAAGGAGAGCGCCCAAATACAATAAAATTATTACACAGCTTTATTCTGAAGAACATTTTACATTTTAATAGAAAAGAACTTACGTCAGGAAATAGTCATTTACAAACCTTGAAGAGTTTTTGCCTGGACCTGGAGTAAGAATATCTTAAGAAGAGGTTTGTAAGGTCTTCATAACAAAGTATTGTTATTTACAAAAAAACCATGAACAGGTTGTCTATGTAATATTTAAAAATTTTGAACCAAAAATTGCTACCTGTTTTTGACTGCAGAGAGTCCCTGCCAAGGTATCTGGACAAAGTCGGCATAATTCTGTGAACAGAAAAGGAAGCCTTGACGGGTCTAACGATCCAAAAGTGGGTTTTCCGCAGGAAGGACGATCAGAGTGGGAGTGCATTCTAGTGGAAACTTCAGCCCTCATTCAGTTGCATATAAAAGCCCTCAGAACACACAGTACAGCAGTGTTTTGTAAAAAGGCAACAATACAATTTGTCCAGACGCCGACCTTCTACTTTTGTAGATGGTCATGTCCCTCTGCCCCCTCCACCCCCGCTTCCCCAGCATTCCTTATGTCATTCCCAGGGGACATGAGCAGAGGGACTTCATTCACCTGCAAAAATGTCCTGTGGGGGCAGGTGCGAACACCCACCACTGTGAATGCCACAGGGTCAGAGTAAGCAGCTTGACCCAGCCTGTCATGACCTTGTGGGGGAGTGGGTTAAGGTAAAACAAGACAGCTGCAACCCATGGTGGAGCAGAAGGTACACTACCGAATCACAGCGCTCTTGCCCAAGGGAAACTGCAGGTAGTTGTCCTGGTGCATCTTGTGTAAAGATACACTCATAGCGACTCAAAATATTTTAGAAAAATCTCTGCAGTGTCAAGTTCTTTTGAACTTAAAATTTTAACCCCAAAAGATTTTCACTGAATAAATGAGAATTGGTTCTATTTTTTCTACTTCTGTTTAGTCTGAGTAAAAATACCAATAATTCCTAGATTTCAGTGGGGAACTACAATTATTAGGACCCATGGATATTGCTGCAGTTCAAATACGGTACAATAATTACAAAATATAGACCATCTCTTTACAAATACAAATTATAATATATTACAAGTCATGTACAGTAAATCTATAATTTTTAAACAAACTAGCGTATCTAAGTTGACCTGGTTGTGAGTGAATTATTATTCCAGTTTACAGTTGCTCTTAGCCTGACAGTCAGAAAGCGACCATCTGAGTGATGCTCTCATGTAAACTGGTGTCACATAACAGAGAACCTTGCTTACTAGGTCCCACATCCCTCTCAGGGTGATGGCTGGTAGGCAGGTCCTGATGTACTTCGGAACGGGGATCAGGAAGCAGTGTATTCCAAGGGGAAGGGTTTAAAAATGGATATGCTGGGCCCAGTGAATGTCTGATATGCTAGACCGATGGCTGAGGTAATGACACAGGTATGGTGATCGCCATCACCTTTAACCTTCCCCACCGTGCCTGGGGGCAGGGGCCACGGCTGAGTGCCCTGGATGGGCTCTGAATGAGAGGGCAGGGCTCATCCAGCACCTGTCCTCCATGAGCAGGCCGGACCTGCTGCTTCCCACAGCCGAGGCTCTGCACACACACACAGCTGTGCCCTACCAGGTTTATGGCTTCCTTGAGGCATCACATCACTTGTACAAAAGTCTAATTGAATATGGATTCACACTAGTGCCTAAACTTTCCTAACTACGAGGCACTTTTTCCCTGGCCCTCTAGCGCCCCACCAGAGGGCAGAGCCAGTCTGCCCCTCCCTGGAGGCTACAGGGTGGTGATGCAAATCATTTCATCCGCCAGGTCCTCCTCCTCTCTCCCAGGGTCTGGCTCTTCGTCACTGTAGCCTGGCCCGAAGTCCTGGAGCTCATAGTCCTGCCGGCTTGAGATGGGGCCCAGGTCCCCGTTAGCCCGGGGATGCATGGTCCCATTAAGCAGGTTGCTGGCTGCACTCTCCATCTCGTCAATGGTTAGGTCACAGGCATCGGCAATTTCGTGTTTTGTTGCTGACACGAATTTGGGGTCCCTTGCATACCGTCCTAAGCCTTCGGATATCAGGACCTGCACAGGTAAGAGGATCAATGGCATGAATGAGTTATAGTGACAGAAAACCCACCTCAAGCACTAATTGTATGATGTGCTTCTGGGCAGGGCTCAGCCAGTCATGTTCACTAGATCTCGTACATGGTAACTAAACGTCCATGTAAATGGCTTTGGCTTTGAAATGTCATGATGCTCAAAAACTATATACTCGTACATAGTCCCACAAGGATGAAACTGCTGGGGATGAATCTTTTAGTATCAACTGGTAATAGTTGCAGGAATAGCACACATAATCCTGAGAATGGCTACTTTATGAGGTTCAGCAGTGGTGCTGGTTTTATACTCATGTTGTCAGTACCATCCTTGCATCTAAGAAGTGGGTGGTGTCCAGATTAGAAACCAAGGAGCCTGGCTCCGGACCCCTCCCACCTTCAGAGCCACTGCCTGCTCCTGCTCTGTGCGGTTCTCCTTCCGCCACCCCTGCTGTGCCTGCAGCCTGCCATACTCACTGCCTCCACCAAGCTGTCTGCACTCCTCTGCTTGTCGCTGTTTTTGTTGTGGAAGCTGCTGGGGACGGTCAGGCTGGCTGGTGTGAAAGTCCGATAGGAGATGCTGGGCTCGTCTGTGTACCACGAGCTGCGGTGCAGGGACGGCAGGCTGCCGTTGACCTGGTCCAGGGCCTCTGACTGCTCCACCTGGATCAGGGGGGTATAGCACGGTGTCCAGTCCTGGTACGGAGGGGTCGCTGGGGGGGTGGCCCATGACCGGGTTGAGTGGCTCGGCGAGTATTTCTGGGCTTTACTTGAATCGAGGCCTGCAACTGCCATGACCTGAGGAGAAAGGGGGAGTGGGGAGACCAGAAGTCCTGTGAGGTCTAAGCCTCAGGCGTCCTCACAGGGGACCCAGCCGGGGGCCCTGTTTTGTAGGGGCAGCCTTAAGAAGGACTATGAAAACACACTGAGTACATTGAGTTGGCAGTAAAAATCTGGCTTTCTGGCAGACTGTATTTTCTTTCCCCCCAAATCCATATGCATTTTCTGTGGCTGTTCCCAAGTAGAAATCAATTGCTAATGAATGAAATCACTTCAGAACAATGAGGCATCAGAGAAGACCTACCAGTTGGGTGTATGAATATGCTCCCTGTGGTTTAAATACGGAGTATATTCAGGGCAAACTAATGGGTCCCAGCACCCACAGGGAAACATAGCTGTTCTCTAGTGCAATGTACCAAATGGCCGGCCTGTGCCTGCTCTGAGGCACCAGGTACCGGCCTTGCTCTCCCACCTCTGGTGACACCCCAGCACATCTGCCTCTGCATCCTGCTCTGCACAGGGGGACCCTGGAGCCCACTCTGTGAGCTCCACAGGGGAGGCAGTGCACACAGGACCTGGGCCCTGCCAGGGGCAGCAGAGGGAGGGCATTTTCATGCACATGCCCTGGGAGATTTCCACGCCTACTTGGCTCATGGCATTTGATGACCTGGGCCTTCCCAGGACTTGTCCTTCTTCCTCAACAAGGCAGGACACAAATCAAAATGCACATAAAGAGCTGGCAGAGAGACTCAAATAGAACATTGGAAATGGCAGCTACTGTTTATGTGACCAGGGCTCTTGAGGCAGGAAAGTGCCCGGGAGAGCTGGCTCCACCCATTACAGACTGGGTGCACACCTCACGGGGCTGCTCTCCCCTTCCCCCCACCCTTCCTGACACACACAGGCTGACAGCACCTCTGATGTACTCTTTTCGGGCAGAGAGAATCCTTGTCCTTGAGGCAAAGCCTTGGTGAGCAGGCTCTGGCCCGTGCCTTCCTGCCTAGCCACCTTCAGTGTGGACAGGTCCTTCTCTCTGCACCACATGCCCCTTGCAGGCAGAGTCGGGGCTCACCTGCCCTGGAGACCACAGGGCCCTGCCCACACAGGGCTCCGTAAGTGAAGGAACAACCTCTCAGAGCAAATGAAGAGCAGTGCTGCTTGCTCAGGGTCAGTCTAGTGGCCACCACTCCCTGGGCCGTGAATTGTGCCAGGCCCGGTCTTCACTACTGTGGACAGATGGCAGCCTTGGATTCAAATGCCAACCTGGTCACTTACCTACCGTCTCTGATGTTCGCTCAACCACACAATAAGGTTCATGATAGTGTCTGCAAGGTTGTCACACAATTGAACCCCAGTGTATGTGAAGGTTCTCTCCTTCCCCCTGCTGCTGGCAGACAAGGGGAAGGCAATGTCCTGAGGGTGGGGGTGGGTCCCACCCAGGGTGCCCATCGGGCCGTGGGAGCAAGGCCAGGTGGGCCAGCTCACCTGTTGCTGCATCAGGTGCAGAGGCAGGGCGGTGCGGTGAGAGAAGGCAGGGGACATTGGGACCTCCTCCTGGCTGCTCTGCCGGCGCAGGCACTCAAAGTTGAAGGAGGATCTTCGGTGGGCTGAGAAGGCAAAGCACATAAGCAGCTGTGAAAGGAGTTCTCTGGTAGGAACCCAGGGCTCTGGAAGTCACATTGCCCATGGAACACTCAGTGGGGAGCCCAGGAGGAAACCTAATACATCCAAGAAACAACATTAGGTAGTGAAGCCTCAGAACTTTTGGAGAGGGGATGAGGAAGAAGCCCAAGTGAGCGATGGTTTTACAAAGTGCAAGCAGATTTCTTATAAATGCCATGCCTGTTCTCAGGGGCAGGAGTGAAGGCAGCCCGAGGGCAGGTGCTCTGACCTGAAGCCCCTGCCCTACACATTGTGGGGAACACAGTCTCATTCCAGAATTCCATAAACACTGCTGACTGCCCCGATCTCACCTTCCAGACATCTGGGTCCTCTGGGGCCCGAGGCAGCTCATGGGTGCTCCTGTGTTTACACCCCTGCCTTAAAGGGAGTGACTTGCCACTTCCCCTATCAGCTGAACCAGGTAATAAGAAAATTCTTTTGCTGGGAAAGACCCCGCTTCTCTAGCACTGAAGACAGAACAAAAAGGGAACGCCTCTAACTGTAAAGAATGTGGTTGTCCTGTTAACAGCCAGGGTGAGCGATGGCAAGATATCCAGAGCCTGTGGCTTCTAGGGCATCAGGTACAGGAGAGTCATCAGGATTCAGGGCCCCCTAGTACAGGCCAGAAGCCCCCCACCGGAAACACCTCCCTGGGAAAGAGGAGGTGTTTCAGGAGCCCTACTGATAGTTTGCAAGACGGTGAGTGAGCAGCAAAGTCATCTGAGCAGCTCCTTTCCGGACCTCTGTTCTAAGCTGGCAGGGCATGCTTCCAACACCACACCCCTGCAGACACCATCCTGGGGAGGCCTCCCGGGTATGCTGGGACTGCTCACAAATCTGCAGGAATTGGTTCTCTGAGGGCCCTGCTCCCAACGTGCTTGAAGGGCAGGCTGGCCACCGCATGACCAGGAGGAACAAGACAGATGACACTCCTGGTCTCGCAGGCCCAATGCACACTATGGGACATGCGGGGGCCTCCTGGAGTTGAGTCTGTGGCTGCTGTCCTCATCAGACAGCCTACCCTCCCTGCACCACGCAGGGGTAAAATTTAATGGTGTTCTAAGGAGGACAGGCCTCCCTTGGCAGCATAACTTCTAGGATTCTCCTAGCATCAAATGGCAGGGGTCGAGGCTCAGAGCCAGGAAAGGAAACCACCACTCCTTTATTTCAGATAGTGCCTTTTAGTTTCAAAAATGGGTCCACGTACACCCATCATCTTGTTGGTCACAACCATCTCTGCTGGAGGAAGTTGTCCTACTGAAGCTGAGAACACGGGCTGAGGAGTTCCATGCTCCCTGCCCAAGGTCTGAACCTACAAGCAGCTAAGTGCGACCAAGTTAACAGTGACAGACCCAAGGCAGGCAACAGCACAAGTCCTACGACTTGCAGGTGGCAGAGGGTTGCTAAAGCCTGCATAGATCCTCATGAGCCACAGAGCTGCCAGATTTAACAACTAAATATAGCAGACACTCAGTTCAATTTGAATTTCAAGAGCAAATAATTTTTTAGTATAAGTATGACCCAAACATTGAATCAGATGTACTAAAAAGATTGTTTGCTGTTTATTTGAAGCTGAAATTTAACTGAGCATCTTGTATTTTATCTGACATTCCTACCATGAGAGAAACAGACCATTTTAAACATCTATTCCTAGAGAGCAAGAGGTCTGCTTCTAATATTAATCACCAGCTCTAACAGCTCTCTGTTCTTTGTAGTTCTCTCTCCTTTAAACCACACCTTCATACCTTGTCCTCTCCTGTTTGAAACTAGAAAGGTCCAAAACAATAGCTAGCCTGAAGGGGAGGTGGTACAAAGGTAAAAAAGAACAGAAACCAGCTTCCCTCTGCCCCTCAAGACAGACTGGTATTTAAAAAAACAAAAGCAAATGAAATACATTTATTTATTTGCCCTTACAAATAAAGAGGACACTTGCTCTTCTCCACTTAGGTTCCTCACTTCCCCAATGTGGCATCTGTGTATGGCAGGCATTCACATGGCTGCCAAAGGGCGGTCCAAGGAGGGCTGTGGACTCGTATGGGCAAGGGGCCTCCAGCCTCACCTGCATGTGAGTATCCAGTAATGATGGAGACCAGAAATGCTCTGTGTGGTTGGGACTACCATGGAAATGGGTCTGACTTCACTCCCCAGCAGGGCTGTGACTGCTGGGGAGAGACAGAGAGCCCGAGGTGCCACCCAGTCACAACCATTACTGTGCGTGCAGTCGGCAGACGGGGAGCCAACATGTCTTGGCTATTTTTTGATTACTGATTAAAGTCCTGCTCAAAAATATGTGTCACTCCTTAGAAACACCAAAAGTAGATATTCTTTAACCACCATCCAAATGCCCACATGTCCAAAATCGGACTGCCTGGCCAGGAGCCACGGCAGGGGCCACTGCTGCCTTTCCTTCCCCAGCCTGAGCTCCTCACCGGGGCTGGCCCAGATTCCCGGCACTGCCAGTTATGCCACCTGCACAGGAAAACCAGATGGGAACACCCAGCCCCTGCCCCTGCGCAGCAGGATGGGATTCCTTGGCCCTAGGACGGGAGCCCCTACCCCAGAGTTCACCAACAAGGCCAAACCCTGCTGTGTGAGCAGATGGCTCTGGCAGACCAGAGGCCAAGATGAGAGAGGTGAGGGAGAAGAGGAGAGAAAGAAGACACCCTGGTGTGGACTGAGGAGAGACAGACACCAAGAATCCCCAGGTACCCACACTCAGAGGCGTGGGACTTGGTCTAGCTCAATACTCAGGCTGATCCCTTCTGCCCTGAGAATAGTTACCCAAGCCCCACACTGGGCCTAACAACAGCCACTGTGTATGTCTTGCCCACCTCTCGGGATGGTCCCAGGCTCAAAGGCAATGAAAATGTGCATAAGCAGCCCCTTATCACATTCTCCATTAGGGCCACAGAATGTATTTCTCTGCCCTCAAAGAAAGTTCAGAACAGCACTGAAGTAGTTTAACACATGGAATACAGATAAGACAGGACAGCTGATAGGATCTCCAGCCAGGGGGTCTAGGCTTGAGGACTAAAGGTCCTCGACACAGCAGGACTACATCCATCACCACCTTTCCCCTCACCCTCGGGCCTGAAGAGAGGCGCACTGCTCTCTGGGTGGCTTCACCCCAAACAAAAAATCTGGCCTCACATGTTGGGGTGGGAGGTAGTAGGCGTCTCCTTGGAGATCTCCGGGAATCATAGCAAATGGGTGAGTCATCGTCCTCCAAGAAGCCTTGGGGGTGATGGTAGCCTCGGGGCCGCTCGAAGTCCAAGTTGCTGCCTGGGTATCGGTTGTAGTATCTGTAGTTTTGCCTGGTGGTCAGAAAGGCCAAAAGAGAGAGTAAGAGGCACATGAACTCCTAGGTAATAAGCCCCTTCCATTAGCTCAGGCACACCCACCTCTACAGTCCTCTCCCTACCTCCTTGGGCACAGGTGGACTAGCTGAGAACAAGGCAGTTCTCAGCTTCACAGAAGATTGGAGATGGTGGTAAGGGCTATTACAGGAAGGTTGAGGACAGCAGGCCTATGGTGAATGGAGTGTCAGTAGTTTCCCCCTGGCCGGGGCAGCCTCAACCCAGGTCCATGTGGACTGCAGATTTCCTGTAAGCTGGCCTATCACCCGCTCACTTCCTCCTTGAGAACCCCTCTCCTGAGTCCCTGCCCTCAGCTAGGGCTGGGATCCAGGGACACCATGGTGCATGAAGCATGGCCCCTGCCCTCTAGGAGCTTAACAAACACCACATGCACAGAGACAGCTGCTGCAGCTGGAAAAGGCCAGTGCCAGAAGATGGGCACAGGGTGGGTTCTGTGAGTTGTGGGCTGGGCATTTCAATGCCATCCAGGGAATAAGAAGCAAAGCCCTGAAGCAGGTCCTTGACAAGAGGCTGGAATGAGACCCACAGAGCTGGGAAAGGGTGTCTCAGTGGTGGACATGCTGTGTGTAGTGGCTCTGAAGAAGGACAGTCAGAATCCATTTGGTCAGAATCGGTGGTTCTGTAAGTCAGGTGCTGAGGGAGGCTGACGGAAGGAACTGGTGGAGGGCAGGGTGAGTGAGGGTCCAGCCATGTCTGGCCTAGAATATGAGGCTAACAATTATTAACAGCTCAGACACCAGGAGAGACCTCACGGCAGTACCATGTCCACTTCAATGGGCTGCCTGGTCATGGTGAAATGCAATTTACAGAAAAAGGATGGTAGGTAGCCTTTATTTCCCTGCTTGCTCACTATGGGCCCTAAAGCAAATGTCCCTTTTAACCTCAAAATTATTTCTTTAGGATCTGGAGAGGCAGCTCTGTTGAGAGATGCCACCCTGACCTCTTGTCCCCCATCTCCAGGACAGACCCCTTGATGAGAGTGGGAAACAGATGCTATTCATTAAGAGCCCACCCAAGCTATGGGCTGGCCGAGCAGCTTGTACACCGGGCCCCCAACTCAGAGTGCTCAGCATTAACAAAATAAAAACAGACATCTCAGAAGACAAGGAATAGATGGAAGAGAGCTAGCCCTCCATGAGACAAGCCCAGCTCTCCTTTCGGGACCTTTCTTAAAAGGCCTCACAAGCCCCTGGTGGAAATGAGTTGACAGCCTGAAGGAACAGTCCCCACTCTGCCTCTCTCTGGCTCTGTTTCTTCTGCTCAAACTTCTCCTGTGGCCTAGAGTCCGCCTTCCTGGTTTGCTTCCCAGGGCAGTCCCCAGTGAGGCTGCAGGTGGCCTAGGGCTTCACAAACAGGCCGAGCACAACAGATAGGCAACAGCCAGGCCTCCTAATGCCAGCCTGAGCCCCAGAGCCCCTCACCTGCTGGAGGTCGGCGAGCTGTCCTCCTCGTAGTCCTCCTCACCACTGAAGTACTCCGGCTCCCCCAAGCAGTGGGGTTCCCTGAAGTAGCCTTGTATCTCGGGGTCTTCCCGGCAAATAGTTGGGAATTGCTCGTCTCCTGAGTCTGACCTGCAGTTGGGAGGGAGGACCTGAGCCCCTGCACAGGCAGCGGTCACTTCCTGCCTCAAGCAGGACTGGACTATAAAGGCCTCTGGCCACAGCGCTGTGTGTGCGCACGCACCACAAGGGCTTCTCTTGCAGTACCTTGAATATGCTGGTGCCAGATTGCTAAGCCCAGGGGCCTTGGGGCCAAAGGAGAAGATGTAATTTGGGAACAGGGCAAGAACATGGACCTAGAGACCTTCAGTGATCGGCAGCCCCAGGGAAAAGACTCTGGTCTCCCAGACCATCTACTCTGATCCCTGTTCCTTCTTACCCGGGCCGCATGTGACTTCAGAACCTGGAACAAAGAGCCTCCCTTACCTCCAACTTCCCACTGCATATGGCCCAGGAGGGGCAACAGGGGTTTTGGATATAGTGGCCTAGGAGAGACTCTCATGCATGACGTCTGCCAAGATTTCTAAGACAGTCTCCTGCCCCAGGACTGTCATAATGCCTCCCTGAGGTACAGCTGTCCGGGCCTGGGACCTCAGGAAAGCCAGCCCAGGACTGTGACAGCGCTTGTCCCCAGAGAAAGGACTGGGCTCCCTTCAAGTTCTTTTTCTTTCTCTGACCTCCTCTGGCTCAGGATTTCACTGGAGATAATACAGCAGACCTATCTTCCTGCTCACTGTTCCCCCCGTTCAGCAAACATGGAACAGGATACAGCACGTGTTTAGGGCTGTATAGGAGGCAAAGGAGAGGACCTGGTCCCTGGTCTTTAGGAGGCTGGGGTCATGCTTTCACAAGGCCCCACAAAAGGCTTGACCCCAGAAAGCAGCAGCCATGGCCCAGTGTCACAGGCCTGGGCATCGAGAGTGTACAGCTGGCTCTCCCTGTGCTGCCCAGAGGTTCCCAGAGGCTAGCCCCCATCCGTCATGTGAATATTAGTCCGTCAGGGTAACTGCTTGTGCAGAAAAAAGCCACCACCTCTGACTCCTGAGTCCACAGCCCTGAGCTATAATATTGCAGTTGGCTTAAAGGAACTTCTCATTTCTTAGCACTCAGAGGGGCCAATGAGTCACACTTATAGTATTTAACACACAAAAAAGCAGTGAGCACATACCTAATATAAGTTTCATAATAGCGAGTTCTATCCAGGAAAAGCATAACAAGAGAGGGAGGGAGAAGATAAGTTAAATATTTCCAACAAAATTTAAAATGCAATTATCAGGCTACTACTCAGAATAGGGTTGGCAAATTATGCGCCACAGGACAACCACAGGCTGCTGCCTGTTTCTCTATGACCCACAGGCTATGAATGGTTTTTACATTTTTAAAGGATTAAAAAACATCAAAGGGAGAAAAACATTTCATCACCTATGATTATATGAATTTCACATTTCAAAGTCCAAAAATAAAGTGTTATTGTGCTACAGCCACACCTGTGCATTTAGCATGTTGTCTGTGGCTGCTTTTTCGCCACAACAGCGGAGCTGAGTAGCTACAATAGACTGTGTGGGGTTCAAGGCCTAGATATATACCATCTGGCCCATCATAGAAAAGGTTTGCCAACCTTCTGGCACAGTTGGGGAGGGTGAATTTGCACCTGCTGCCATTTTAAGGAGTGTCTCATACAGCAGGACACAGGACGGCTGGTGGCCCTTTATCCTTCAGGGTCATCATGGGGCTAGGGCCTGGAACCCACAGGTTCAACTGCAAATGCCTCCTGGGAGTCTCCTGCATGTGCCAGAGCATGGGGTGGGGAAGTGGCATTCACAAGTGCAAACACATTTTCGAGGTTACCTTTTAATACTGGACCTTCTTTGAGGCTCATGGTCAAGCTTGTGGGAGGAATCATGCTCATTTTCAGACACATGCTCAAGGTTCCCAGTGCTGGGCTGCTTTCCAGGGGCAGCTTTGGACATATTGGCATTATTGAGATTGGCATTTGTTGAGCTGGGAACTTGCTTTCCTATGGAATTATGGTTATGATGGTTATGACACACCGAATTTCCTGCTGGAGGAAACAGCGGTTTCTCAGTATCACTTGCAGGTGGAATTGAAGGCCTTTGGACATGCAGGGGACGGTGGGTGGTATTGGTCTGCTGAAGGGAATCTCTCCTATCACTATTAACATGATTGACATGGTTTCCAAGCAGGGCACCATTTCTCTGCAAAATAATGGGAGACAACACCAGGTAATTTAACAAGTATTTGATGCAGGCTAGCTATGTTAGGTAATTTTCTACATGAAAAACAAATTCTAGGTAAGCTCCAGAGGATCCCTGGAAACAGTCTGAGGGCCTCAATGATCAGGGTGAATGTGTCTGTATGGCAGCTGGTCCCCCTGAAACGAGGAAGGTTACCAATTCTTGAGCCAGGGAGCAAGCTCTCAATGGTCACTTGCATGTGCTCTTCCAGTTGATTCAAGATGAGGTGACTTATAGCCAGCAGGGCTGGTTGGCAGCCCCAGCGGTTGAGTTCAGGTAGTAGGCATGCTCCCTGGACTGGGGGGCGGGGAGGCTCAGAGCTGTCTGGAAGCTCAAAGAACTGGCCCACAGAAGGGGGCAATGTGGACAGCAGGCAGCTGCCAAAAGCACTCAGGATGCTTATCCATACCACCCAGTGGCTGTGGCCAAGGTCCTTGGAAGCTGCCAGCGTGGGCAGAGGAGCAAGCTTGGGAAGGGCAGTCCTGGCCCTAGAAGAGGTGCTGGTGAATGGAGGGGGTCTGCTTGGGGGGAGGGCATGCTCCGCAAGCCCCCTATGCTCTGGGGCTGGTTTGCAATCTCCAGGCTCGTTTGTGGTTCATTAACTGCCCAAACTGGAGCCCTGCTCCACTATTTTCAAGCACCGAGTATCTAGCTGTGTGTGGAATAATTACTTTGAATACATCTTCTTCTTCTCCTTTTGTTTCCTCGGGCTCATCATCTTGCAGATCACAGGATATAGCACGCCGGATCTCTGGCCCGATGTCATGCAGTGTCCTTAACCCCGCCTAGATCAATGAAAATGGCAAAGTAGATTAGACAGCACAGGTGCCCTGGACCCAGCCAGGGTCCTGGCTTTGCTCCTGCCCAGTTCAGCTGTAGGAGGGGAAGGTTTCTCCAAAGGACAGACCGGGAAACTGACCACTGTTTGAATGTAACCAAAGGGGTCTCTGCAGCCTCAGGGTTGTAGGAAGTAGGCAGAGGTTCAAGATGGCCCTAGCCTGGGATGCTTGAGGCTCTGAACTTAGGAAACTCCTTATCAAGTCCCCCCACTTGCAGGGAACAGTGCCTGGTTACTAGTACTAAGTCTGTCACAGCCAAGAAACCATGCTCCCACCTAAATGACAGTCTACCGAAGGATGTCCTGCAGAGTGCCATCTCCCAAGCCCCGTATAGCACAGGGAGCACAGGCAGGGTGTTATACAGGGATGGTGGCAAGGACTCACTGGCTGTGCCTAGGATGAGGAAGCCTAGGAGCAAGTGCCAGAGGGCAAGCAGACCAAGCAGCCACCAGGGCCGCTGGTTCTGCTAAAAAGCCACGGGAACAAGGGAGTAACACAACACACTACAGCCACCAGCACACTCAGGACTGAGACAGAGGGGACTGACATACACACAGACCTGGGCCACTGTGCAAGTGCCAGCCTCAGTGGACACCACGGGACCATGGCCATTGTGGGGCCCTGGCCTGCAGCTTGTGCTTGGGCTGAGAACTCGCCAACAGTCGAGTCATCCTTTTGAAGATTACAACACATTGTGGAGGGCTCACCAGCTCTGGAGGCCATGTAAGAAGCCCCTGCTGCTGCCCCAGGCTCCTCAAAGACATTCATCCTGTCTTTCCCTGAGGCCCTCCCAACTGGCCCTCCTTATTTCGGGTCCCAGGTTCCACTGGCACAGGGCCTGGGAGAAGCCTTTCCATTATTCCCAGTTTCTTTAGGGATGGACTATATATGGGGAAGGTATAGTCACTGGCTCTGAGAAAATTTTGATGCTTTGACCATCATTTGGAAGAAAAACAGCATGCTGACTCAAAGGCTGATATGGACAGTATAGCTAACTTATCCTTTTCCACAGACTTATATCTGAAAGAGGCATTTCTTCCCTGCCCAAGGTCTAAGGCCACCCGTGAACCCCATTTGCTGCCAGCTAGTCTGCAAATTAAGCAGACACTAAACTTTGGTGGTGCAGGTCTCCATCTGCAGCTAACCCTCCAACATCAGGGTGGTCTGCAGAGAAGAATGGGGCCAAAAATGGGTAGTCATGGAAGGGGTCTGCTTCCCTGTCCTTCCTCCACAACCCCCTGCAACGGGTAGGCATAGGACACAGACACAGTGTGATGACCATACTTGGCCCAGCAGTGGCCAGGGGAGGGGATGGCATCCAGATCCAGCAGGGCAGGGCCCACTGGCGTGGGAATGCTCAGACTGGCCTTCTGCAGACACCCGTGGTGGTGACATTAATTTAAAAGGTAAAGTTGTATTTAAAAGGAAAACTTCCCATCCTCCCTGGTAGCACCCAGCCTGTGAGATGAGCCTGGGTAAGGAGGCACACCAGCCTGGGTCTGCTCTGCATCAGGCTTTGAATAGAGGATCAGCAGCTCTTTCCATGTCATGAATTGTGGGGGTAAGAGAGCCACCCAGAGTCAAAGCTTTCAGGCTCCTCACTAGGAATGCTGTGGTCTTATAGGGGAAAGGCACACAAGGTTGGGAGCCAAACCCAGAAGAGTTGTGGTGTGTCAGTGAGGCAGCCACTTCCTCCCGTCCCTCTGATCACAGGCATACAATGCACGCACACACACATGCACACATGTCCACACATGCACATGTGTACTCACACACAGGCATGCACATGTACAGAAATACACACTTTCCCTCTCTCAGGATTCCTGAGTCCAGTACATCTGAACCCAGGGAATCATCTAGCTTGGAGGGGGACCCACCTGCCATTCTCATGGAAACATCAAGAAGGCAAGTCTAATGATGAATAAGTGGAAGCTCTTACACCGCAGAGCTACAGGCATGTGCAGAAAGGTCGAGCCCAGTAGCATTAAACAGCCTATAATTCATCCATTCAGCATTTTCTAGGGCATGATTATCAAGGGAAGATAAATTAAGCCAGGGTTCAAGGCTGATTCTGGATTACTGGGGAGAAGGTGATGTTGCGTATCTGAGGCTCCCAAAGAAGAAGAGACCACCAGGTTTGAGACACCTGCTGCTGTCCCCACAAAATAAGTACAGGTGAAAATGCACTAAGTCAACACCCCCAGTTAAATGGTGTATATTAATGCACCGTTACAAGGCAGCATGGGCCAGGAACACTGAGTTTAAGTAACAACAGATAATCCTGTTCACTGTCATTCAACTGATTGGACTAGGTCTGATTAAAAGAAATAGAAAACTATTTATTTGGATAATTTTTCACATCATCCTCTGTTGACAGGTTGACATTTCACTGAAATACACATATAACATAATTGTATAATAAAAACAAAAGCTGTCTCCAGCACGTTGTCAATGACATGCCGGAGCAGGAGAGTGCAGTGAACAGACACAGGACCGAGTTTGTTTGCGACATAAACCACGGAGAAAACTGAGAGGGGGCCCACAAGGTGATTTCCAAAGACAAATAATGACAACATATTTATTAGAGACATCAAAGGAGGAGTGAAAACATCACCCTTCCCAGACAGAACAGCAGAAGCTTAGAAGTCATGATTCCATTTTGCTTGTTCCACGCAGGAAGAAACACACCTTCTAAGTGTCAGGGACTGACTTTGCTCTTTCACGTGGGGTCTGGGGAAGGACATGTGGTGGGGGACACACACGGGAGCTGGGGGTAGGGAGGGGATCTGCTGGGGTTGGGAATGAGGGAAACAGATGTTCCCAGACTTAAATGGAAACACAGCTTAAGCACAGCACCCTGAATTGATTACACATCACGGAACATGGTAATGAAATTTTTCTGGCGCGCACATCGAGCCGAAAGGTAGCTGAGGCTGCTCCAAAAACTCCATAGGCACAAGTTCCAACCCCCAAAATTCAGAAAACTATCTTAAGTCCTTGAAAAAATTGTTTTCATAGCTCTAGAAAAAGAACATTTTTCTTGAAATAAACACTTTATAATCAGTAAAATTATGTATTCTTTCATATTTCATATCTGTGTCTACCTCTATCAACAAAATACTATTTTAATTTGAAATGGGATCATAGCTCTTAAACCAACACAATTAAAGCCATATAAAGTCATTCCATTAACATCACAATTATGGTTTTGAATAAACACAGAATTGCTATAAAATATAAACATTATTAAGATGTCCAATCATATAAAATATTAAACAGAATCAAGCCTAGTTTCTGTTTGACTTTTAAATGCTACATATTATCATAAATATTTTTTAAAAAATGATGGCGCTTTGCCTGTAGACTGCTGCTTTAAATTTTAGACACCATTTAATTGGAATTTTATAGATACTCTACTAAATGATTAAGTCACAAAAAACCCAAACTATAAAAATCTCTCTAAGTATTTCTGAAGCAATAGCATAAAATTATGATATTTTAACATCAAAAATGAACACTTATTTACCTTCCCTCCTCTTGCCCACTTTCAGGGTTAAGTTTTTCCTACCTGGGTACATGTGTAAGACTGCCGCTGCCTGTCTCCCTAAGCTAGCTCCATCAGACACACCAGTCACCTGGCAGCTCTCAGAACTAAGGCAAGCACATCCAAACTCCTTCTGAACCTACACTGTAACAGTGGAGATAAGAGATTTGAGTTTCCAGATGGGACTGGGCCAGGCCATTCATCTTCAGAAGTGAGTGCCAGACTTTCCGACTCCAGCCCAAGAGCCCTTGCCTGGCAAAGCCTGTTCTCCATCACAGGCAGGTTTCCCAGGGCTGGCCCTGCTCAAGCAGGTTCCAGGTAAGCCTACAGCAGAATTCAGCCCCTACCCAATCAGCTGGATGAGTTTAGACCTGCTGCTCTAAAAGAAAGAACTGACGATTAAATTCTTACAGAATAAACCTGCTTGTCTACAAGCTGTCCCCTGCCACCTCCGCATACACACATGAACACATGCGTCACAGAGGGCACACCCCTTTTTTCGTCATTGTTTTCCTCCAGGGAAAATGTGATGATGTGGCCTTTCTGTCCATTATGAACAGTTCTTGAGTTATATAAAGGGTCAGAATCATGAGCAGGATGCCCCATGAGTCAGTCACCCTCGGTGATTCCAACTCTCACTGAAAAGTTAACTGTAATGTTAGTTCATGAGTCACCCTTGGGTTGCACTCAGCACTTCAAAGAAAATAAAGGGAACATTTAAAAAATTAGCTAAATTTTTTATCTATGACATGTCCCTGCAAATGACCTGACAGAGCTATCAGTCTTAGACACACCTTGATTCTTGGTTGTAGTGTTAACACCTGACTTGGAGGAACCCTTGCCAGCTTCCTGATAACAGAGAGAGTATCTCTTAAAATGCAGGCTCTCCAGAAGCCATGCATTATGACTGCTGTTCTGGTCCACCCCGGTGCCTCTCCTGTGATCTCACATACTTTATTCTGCTACACCTGGGAAGGGAGGGTGGGCCAGATTCTTCCCATTTGGTTAAGGGGCTTGCCTAAAATTGCAAAGGCTCAGCTAGGTTCTCATGACACCATGCTGCCCCTGCCTTGACCACCACCAAGAACCAGTCATTGGGTCAATGGGAAAGAGGGCTGAGACAAGTCTCAACTGAAGGCTCACTCATAACCATTTCCCCACAGAACTGTGGGTGCCACTCAATCAAGGTTAACCCCTTTAACTAACTTAGCAGAGCTCTTGTATCACTAAGACAACATAGAAATGACAAGCCATCACAAGGTGTCATGACAAGTGATCGCATGCTTGGCACACATCCTCACCCCAGTTGTGCTACTCTGAGGTGGGAGATCCTGAGCAGTACTGTCTGTCATGTGCTAATTCAGACTATCACTCCTCCAGATCAGCACACGCAGTGAGACGT